ATTAAGACGGTCTCTGGCTTGAGAGATAGTAACGGGGTCCCTGACAAGATCCAGGTCGGGGATTCTGGAGGTCTCTAGGTCTTTTTATGAGGATTTGCTGAGCGAGAAGCACCTCGACCGGACAAAGATGTTGAGCTTTTTGGACTCTACACCAGGTCTGGAGGGTAATGTCCTGCCTGCAAGTTTGACGGGGGAAATTACAGCAGAAGAGGTGACCAAAGCCATCAATAGTTTGGCCATTAAGAAGACTCCTGGGCCAGATGGTCTGACAGCAGAATTTTTTAAAGCCCTTAATCCAGCTTGGCACCCCACCTTGCGGAAGTTTACAATTGCTGTCTGGATGAGGGGTCGCTCCCACCTTCCATGAGGCAGTCTGCTGTAATTCTCTTGTCAAAGGGTAAAGATCCTTCAGCTATTAAGAACTGGCGCCCCATTAGCCTTCTCAATGTCGATAGAAAGATTCTGGCAAACATCTTGTTCTGGCGCTTGTTGTCAGTGGTGGGCAGCTTACTTTCTCGTCAACAGCATTGGTCGGTCCAGGGTAGAAGTACCTTTACAGCGGTGCTAGCTGTCCGGGAGGCTCTGGAGTGGTGTAGGGCTGAAGGCTGGGGAAAGTTCCTGCTGGCGGTGGATCAGGCAAAGACCTTTGATCGAGTTGACCACAAGTACCTTTGGCATCTCCTTGACCGGTACGGCCTAGAGGGGAGGTTTATTGGCTGGCTTAAAATGTTGTATAGTGAGGCTGAAAGCTTCATGTTGGTGAATGGGTGGATTGGGGGCCTTTTGGGGTTGGGTCAGGGGTGCCCGCTGAGCCCTTTGCTCTACGCCTTCGCCATTGACCCCTTCATTAGGAGGTTAGATGGTGGGGGTTGGGTGGGGTGCCGGTGGGTATTACTGGGGACCCCCCATGAAGGTCGTGGCCTACGCCAATGACGTTTCTGTTTTCATTTCTGGGACCAAAGAGGCGCAGGAGGTGGTTGCAGTGATGGATCAGTATTCCAAAGCGTTGGGCTCCAAGGTCAACCAGGACAAATGTGTAGTTTTCTGGATGGGTAGGGATGGTGAGAGCTTTTCACTTCCGGACACCTTCCCAGTGCCTCAGCAAAAAATAAAAGTTTTAGGCATCAATTTCGGCCCTGCTGATTACAGCAAGTTAAATTGGGAGGCTAGGCTGTCTGATGCTGAGGGTAAAGTGAGAAGTTGGAAGGGGTGGCGGCTCTCCTTGAGGGAAAGGGTTGACATGATCAAGACTTTCTTGATCCCCATTTTTCTGTATGTCAGCTTCGTCTGCCTCTTGCCAGAGTCGCTCTATACGAGGGTCTACAGCTGTTTCTTCCAGATGTTATGGGGGAACAGGCTGAACCTTGTCAAGCAGGATGTGACCTACTCATCCATATTATGAGGGAAGGCTTACAGTTGATTAATCTGGAACGGATTCCCTTGAAATTTAGGGATCAGGCCTGGCTTACTTTCCATGGCAGGCTCTACATGAGAGGGAACTTGAAATACCATCCTCTGGATGACCGTGGTTGTCCGAGGTCGGAGTGTCAGGGGGAAGTGGAAACTATGGACAACTTCTTACTTCAGTGCCCTTTCAATGTAGAGGTGTATAAAGAGGTGGGTGGAGCTCTGGGTGTCCCTTTCCTACACCGCATGTCTTACGCGGAGTGGGTTTATGGATCATTTGAAAACCGCCTGGGTTTTGATTTGGACACTCTGTTTCTAGTTAGTTTAGTAGTCCATTATTACACCTGGAATGCACAGTGTCAGGTTTCCATTTGGCAGAAATTCCTTTCGGTCCAGGTGGTGGTGTGTGACATCCTTGGTGAGGTTGGGAAAATTCGGGGTCTTGAGAAAGACAGGGGGCGGCGAAAGGCCAGGATGGAGGCGTGGAGGAATATCAGGCCCGTAGCTGCAGCCTGTTGATCTCGGGTGGTGGTCCCTGTCCCTGTTTCCTCCTTTTCACCTCCCTAGATTTTGGTAGGCTTGGCTTTTTTATGAAAGGCTGCATTCACTGAAGATCTGAGTTTCTTAGTCTTTTCTTGGGTGTAGATAAGGTTATAAGTTTCTTGTGCTATGCCTAGGAGTCCAGAGTGAGTAGGACTCTAGGCTAAATGGTTGGTCTTAGTGTTGGTATAAATAATATGTATTGGTTAGGCCATAAAGGCCTTTTTTCATGCAAGTACAGTTAAGTGTGTGGAATCTGATTAAAAATTGATGTATTAAATCTGTCGTTTGGCCGTAAAGGCCGATGCTTTCTCTTTATAGAGATGATGGGCCATAAAGGCCACTAATAGAAACACAGTATTGTTTGTAGTGTTGGCTAAGGGGGTCATAAAGGCCTCCTTTGCCTATATTATGTTTTTTTGGCAGGTAAGCCATAATGTTTTCTTTGCAGGTTGTGGACATTTTTTAGTGCAAGCCCTAGTGGCTAAAATGCCTTTGCCTATAAGTCTTGCTGTTCTTTGTGATGAAGTATCCCGTGTATAATTGGACTGGAAAGTTTTGAGTTATTTATTGTATGTTTTTTACTTTTGTATAAATTAATTTTGCTTGCTGGTTGCAAGTTCACCTAATAAAAATATCTCCATTCCTGACAGGCACAAAAGGTGTCCAAATGGGCTTAAACATGTGAAAAAAGGATGCAGCAGGGCTTTAAACCCTAAAAAGTCAAGGAGAAAGGTGATTAAGGGCCACTTCCGGTTTTGAGGACACCCCAGGATGCCACACTTCCGGTTTTGGAAAATGCCAGTTTCCCAGCCAATCTGTTGGTTGTTTAAAGCTCAAATCAACTCATTTTTCACCCCTCTGGTCACTCCTTGGTAAAAGGAAGTTCCAATGAGTATAAAGGTGCGATAAAAATGGGGGGTCATTTTTGGTGGGTGTGCTTGTCAGGGACCAAGAAGGTCACCACGGCGCACGAATCTGCACATGCGTAGGATCCCGACAAGACATACAGGCAGGCGGGCACTAGGACCAAGGCGCGCCTGTCACCAATGACGGCGCCGGGCAGGCACTAGGACCCAGGTACGCCTGTCGGTGTCGGGCGGGCTATTTAAACCAGCTCTTGCAATGCTCACATTGCCGTATGGTCTTGTTCCTGTTGTTCCTGCTTGTTCTGTTCCTGAGATTGCCTTGTTGCCGACCTAGCCTGACCCTGATTGCTGTTGACCGTCTCCTGCCCTGACCCCTGGCTCGCCTTGACTTCTCTTCTGCCTGTTCCTGATGATCTGACCTCCTGCTGCTGAACCTGGCCTGTGACCCAATTACTCTCTGCTTACTGCTCTGTACTGTTTCCCTCCACTGTTACCGACCCGGCCTGCCTGACTTCGCTATCTCTCCATGGTGTCATTTGTCCATCCATCCTGCATGGATCCATCCGTTGCTGCCAGATCTGCTCCGCCTTTTAACAGCAGGCTCTGATCCGCTTCATACCACTGGCATTTACCTCTACCACGGCTGGGTGTACTCAGGGGCCGCGACCTAGTCTCAGCCTGCTCCAAGTCCATCCCCACCATCAGGGGCGCTGGTGAATAGGCAGATTGGGGCTTAGACTCCGCACCCTGGGGAAACCCAGCCTGTGGATCTCTAGAGTCACTGCCAGTCGGTAACTGACAGTGCTCCATGAAATTTTCACACCTTTGACCACATTCTCAGGGTGGCACAAAAGGTGTCCAAACGGGCTTTTAAACATGTGAAAAAAGGATGCAGCAGAGCTTTAAACCCTAAAAAGCCAAGGAGAAAGGTGATTAAGGGCCACTTCCGGTTTTGAGGACACCCCAGGATGCCACATCTGGTTTTTGAAAATGCCAGTTTCCCAGCCAATGTGTTGGCTGTTTAAAGCTCAAATCAACTCATTTTTCATCCCTCTGGTCACTCCTTGGTAAAAGGAAGTTCCAACGAGTATAAAGGTGCGATAAAAATGGGGGGTCCGTTTCAGGGGGTGTGCTCCTCGATATTTTCACACCTTTGACCACATTCTCAGAGTGGCCCAAAAGGTGTCCAAACGGGCTTAAATATGTGAAAAAAAGATGCAGCGGGCATTTAAACCCTAAAAAGTCAAGGAGAAAGGTGATTAAGGGCCACTTCCAGTTCTGAGGACACCCCAGGATGCCACATCTGGTTTTTGAAAATGCCAGTTTCCCAGCCAATCTATTGGCTGTTTGAAGCTCAAATCAAGAGAGGACCACACCCAGGAAGGAGCCTGACCATGGCTTTGAGCGGGAGCTCGATGTGAGGGCTGCCGGCTCCCAAGCACCTCCAGTGTTCTGCCAAGAAAGGGAGAGATGTACGGGAAGCCCTGGAGAGACCAGCCGGGGGGAGGGGGGCTTGACTGGCGTGGTGTGTGGACTGAGGTCCGGGGAGTGGTGGCCATCATGGTGGGTCTTCCTGTGCTCTCGGCCCGGCGCTGTGTGTTCCCCGGAGCTCAGTGGATGCCGGGCGATCAGGTGATCTGCCTTCAAGGGAGCTCTTGGAGGCAGAGGAGCCGGCCGGCGTTTCTTGGAGCAAGGCAGACATCGGCTCTCTTCCTCCTGCACACAAGACCATGGCAGCTGGAGACAGGTGGAAACAGGCTGGGTGAACCCCCCCTGCCATCCACTCATTGTGTGAGTGGAATGTCGAGTGCAAAGTTCCCCAGAAGAGAGTACCTGGAGCCGCCTCACCCCTCACTTGGAGTAAAGGAAGAGATGTCCTAAAGTGCGGGAAAGTCTCTCAGAGAAGTTCAATCCCATAGAAACCAGAGATCTCACATGGGGGAGAAGTATTCCTGTTCGAGCGCGGGAAATGTCTTTCATGTAAGTTCTATTTTTATATATACCAGTGATAATACAAGAGGGAGCAGCCATACTCTTGTTCAGAGTGTGGGAAATGTTTTTCACAGAAGTCCAGTCTGCATATATATTAGAGACCTCACATGAAGAAGATGCTATATCCCTGTTCTAAAGGTGGGAAATGTTTTCTCAGACAAAACTAGACTTTACATATATCAGAGATCTAACACAGGTGAAAAGTCATATGTCTGTCCTGAGTGCGGGAAATACTTCTCAGTGAAGCCCAGTCTTCACACACATCAGAGATCTTACACGGAGGAGAAGTTGTATACCTGTTCGGAGTGTGGAAAATGTTTTTCAGAGAAGCCCTTTTCTTCATATATGACAGAGATCTCATACGGGGGAAAAGCCGTATTGGGGACAAGAGGGTGAGTGAGAGCAGCAAAAGTACTGAAATTAATACATTGCATGGGAACTGAACTGTATGTATTGAACTATATGTTTAAACTGAGGAGGGGTTCACCCAGGGGGTCTTAGAGGAAAATCAGAAGGAGGACAATGTAAAACAGATAAAGACCTAGAAGAAGAGGACCCGGGTAGATGAGTTCGGGAGTAGGGGGAGAGAAAAAGGAAGAAAAGATCGAGGAGGGGGGGATACCCATGGAAGACAACAAATTTTTATATCAAATCAAAAATAGGCCTCCCCTCAAAACCAGAACTGCGGAAAATTGAAATAGTTCCTGATAGCATGAAAAACAAAGTATCAAAGGGAGGAGGGCCTAAGGCTTCCCAAACAGGGTCAAGTAAAAAATATATACCCTCACAGGAGAAACAGACTCCAGAGAGACAACAAGGAATAAGTGTAAGAGGTGAGAGGGAAAACGGCGGGGAATGTTCCAGACTATCCCTGGGAATAGCTAACAGTAGTCAACATATGGAAGAAGAAGTGGATATGGATAAAGTAGAAGAACAAGAGGAGAGCTCACAGATGCCTACTAAAGCAGAAATAGCAGAAATGTTTAAAGGAGTCGAAAGATCCCTAAAACAGGAACTGGCAAAATTATACAAAGACCTGGGGCAAATATTATCAAGGGTGGAGGAGAAGGAAGAAAAAACTAGATAAACATGCCCAAATTATACAGAAATTAGAAAAACGGGTGATGGAAATGAGAAAAGAACAAAGAAATCTGTTATATAAATTGGAAGACCAGGAGAATAGGGAAAGGAGGTGCAATCTAAGGATACAAGGCTTTCCAGAGATCTCCCAAGGAGAAGATTTGACGGGAATAATAATGTGAATGCTGAATACTATAATGGATAGAATTATAACAGAGTCTCTCAAATGGAGGGAGTATATAGAATAGGAAAAATATATACAAGAAGATAGAAAGGAAAAGCCAAGAGATGTAACAGTGTAATTATATAATTTTTGGGATAAAGAAGAGCTTTGGAGAAAGATAAAAGGAAGAGCAATAATAAAATATGGAGAAATAAATATACAGATCTTTGCTGATTTAGCAGCGGAAACATTATTATAAGAAGGAGAACTTTGAAACCATTATTGGAACAGATGAGAAAACAGAATGTTCGATATAGCTGGGGGTTTCCAGCATGTTTGATTGGATGGAGAAATGGACGTTCAGCAAAACTGAGATTCCCCGAACATCTGAGAGACTTCTGTGAGAGACTTGATATACAGAAAATAAATATCTCTGGTTGGGAGGAAGAAGGAGAAATGTGGGCTATGGAAAATGAAGGGGAGGCAGGTAGCTCTAAGGAGAAATAGTGTCAGGGATCCCCTCGATCCCCGCCGCGATGGTCCCGGCGCAGGCGCAGTGCACCGCCCTGTGCAGGGACACGGGCACTAGGTCCGGGCCGGCTGCTGCGTTCGAGTTCGCGCATGTGCAGTAGAAGCCGCGGCCGCCCGCTGGGCACCAATGGCAGCGCAGGGCGGGATATTTAAATGTCCCTGAGCTGTCATTCAGTGCCTTCTGGTCTTACCTGTACCCTGTGATTCTGAATCTGTGCCTAAGTAAGTTATTGACCCGGATTGCCCTTGACCTGCTGATTTCTCCTGCCCAGACCTTTGCTTTGCCTGACCTCTCTTTCTGAATGCCCCTCATTAGTTCTGACCTACTGTTGCTGACCTGGCATGTGACCCGACGATTCTCTGCCCGCTCCCTTGTACCATACTGTCCTCTTCGTTACCAACTCGGCCCGTCTGACTTCGCACTTGCTCAGCCATCCATCCATCCATCCCATCGGGGTCACCCGACCTCCTCACATCTGGCTCTCCCTGGTTGGAGCCCCTGGCGAACACCCCTACCATTGACAGGTGTGCTCAGTAGTGTGCAACCTGGTCCCGGGGTACTCCAAGTCCATCCCCACCATCAGGGGCTCGGTGAACAAGTACCCTGGGGCTTAGACTCCGCGCTCTGGGCACGCCTGACCAGTGGAGTGCTAGTGGTGCCGCTCGGCGGTCCCTCACAAATAGAGAGTAGGAATAGTAAAGAGGAATAAGATAGGAGGGAGGGGGGTTCTCTCCTTCTTTGTTTTTCTCTTTCTCTCTCTCTCTCTCCCTCCATTTCTGCCTCTCTCATGATTTTTGAAGTTTACTAGAGTATGGCAGTACACAGAGATGAGACATGCTTATTGGGGAAAAGTTCATGGTCAGAGTTCCACCTTAAAAGCTGAATCAAAGGTGGGGTTAGGACCACAAATGATTCATAGGCAAAATGTAAGCCTAAAGGAAGATGGGGGTGTTGGAGAGAGAGAGGAGTGGAAGGAAGGGAGGAGCGGTGGAGGAGGGACAGGAGGGTATGGGGTGGGGATAGTTAGTTTAGGACTCTGCGAAATAGTGGGAGAAACATCAGTCTGGAGAAATCCTAGCGATCAAAGGGGAAGATGTGGAGGAAAGAGGAAGAGAGAAGAGATCGGGAAGATAGAGGTGTGGAGAGAAGAATGGAAGAGATTAACTTTGTGACTTATAATTTTAAAGGGTTAAATGGCCCTGGGAAGAGATTTGGGATTTTTAATGAAATTCAACAGGATCTACCAATGTGTCCTCCAACTTAAACCTTATATTTTTCGCAAAACCTATTGCCACTCCCTTAGCTCTTCTAATTGGGGAATCTACATAGAACCACAATGGATAATATCTAGAATTTAATTTCAAATTTGTTTCTCTCCCCAAATGTGTCTCCTGTAAGAAAACCACTGAAGACAATCTATGCTAGATCTCTTTAAATATCCTAAATCTCTTCCCAGGACTATTTAATCCATTAACATTATAAGTTACAAAGTATCTCTTTCATTCTTCCCTTATTCTCCTATCCTCTCCTCCATCCCCTCTCTCCTCCGCTCTTGTCCATATCTTCTCCTTCGTTCTCTAGGACTTCTCCAGGCTACTATATCTCCCACCTCTCCCATCTTCCCCTCCCATCCCCCCCCCACCCTCCCCCCCTTTCCATTGCCTCCCCCCATATCCCCCTCCCCAACCCTCCCTTTTTAGGCCAAGATTTGCCTATGAATCATTTGTGGTCCTAATCCCACCTTTGATTCAACTTTAGGGTGGAACGCTGCTCCTGGCCACCCCTTCCTATTTACCCTCCCCCAGCATCCTGCCAGACCTGCCTGAGGAAAAAAAAAAAAGGAAAGAGAAAAGGAAAAGAAAAGGAAAAACAGAGGGAGGGAGCAAAGGTATGGGAAAGGGGGAGAAAGAGAGAAAGGAAAAAAAACAAATCCCCTAACTGTATACTCTCCCCCTTCCTCCCTCACAGCCCCTCCCCTATTCCCCCCATCCTCCTCCTAGCTTATCTGTCAACTTCCCTTCTCCATATTTCACCACTACTCATCCCCCCCCCACCCCACCCAGGAATGTCTACATTCTGCAACTCAAGTCTCTCACAGAAGTCTCTTAGTTCTTCAGGAAACTTTAATCTTGCAGAGCGCCCGTTTTTCCACCCAATTAAACATGCTGGGGTTCCCCAGCTGTATCGGACAATCTGCTTTTTCATTTGTTCAACTAATGGTTTCAGGATTTTCTTTCTTGAAAGTGTCTCTGCAGCCAAATCAGCAAAGATCTGTATATTTATCTCTCCATATTTTATAGCCACTCTTCCTTTCATCTTCCTCCAAATCTCATCTTTGTCACAATATTGATGAAATTGAACTATAACATCTCTTGATTTCCATTCATACCCCCTTGATAGTCTTCCTATTCTATATACTCCATCTATTTTATAGGTTTCTGCCACAGATCTGTCCATTATTGTTTCAAACATCTTCTCTATTGTTTCCTTCAAATCTTCTCTTTGTGAAATCTCAGGCAGACCTCGTATTCTTAAGTTGATATTCCTATCTCTATTTTCCTGCTCTTCTAATTTATATTGTAGTTTCTTTTTTTTTTTTTTTTCATTTCCACCATTTGTTTTTCTAGATTCTGTATCACTTGTGCGTGTTTGTTTATTTTACCTTCCATCTCCTCCATTCTAAGTAACACCTGCCTCAAATCTATATGTAACTTCCCAATCTCGTTTTATAGATCTTTCCAAACTTTTAAACATTCCTGCTATTTCTGATTTAGTTGGTAGGTGTAAATCTTGATCTTGCATTTTCTCCATCCCACACATTTTCTCACTATTTTGTTTCTTCTATATTTAGAATTAGACATTTCCATGGACAACCTGGGGCTCCCACCACTGTTGTTCTCTATCAAGCTCTTTTCCAATGATCCCATTTGCCTCTCAGGGGTCTGCTTGTCCTGTCCGGGTATATATTTCTTAATTGAACTAGATGGGGGGGCCCTTGATCCCCCTGCCTTTTGATCCTTTATTCTTCATTTTGATATATTTTCAATACCTTAAAAAATTCAATAGTCAATTCTTCCGATAGGTGTTCTCCTTGTTATTATCTTTCCTTTTCTTCTCCTTTAACCTTGTCTTCCTTCTTCCCTTCTCCCTCATTAACCCCGTATAAGAAGGGATATCTCCTTTATAACTCCTCAAACAACCCCCCACTTCTGTCCAGCCGAATCCACCTCAATCCCAACTTCCCCAACACTGGCATATATTTCACGCCGCAGCACACGCACTCACCCCCTCCGCCCCCACCCCAGGGGAAAGCTACGTCCGAAAAGCCCACCAACAGAAGGGGGCTGCACGAGACACCCTCCCCAAACTCCCACCTCCTCGCCTCCAGGGGAGGTGGTGAACTGCGGACCCACCGGCAGAGGAGCACAGATGAGAGTCCCCCCCCCCCCCCCAGCAGACCCCCCCGAACACACCATCTACAACATGAACACAATAGTCCACACCACACAGGATCCGCTCCCCACCGCCAGCCCCGGGATCCGACGCACACATCAGCCGCCAAACCACTCCGAACGGCACCCCCCACCAATACAACGAGTGCACCAGAAACCACGCGAAGCA